ATAACGCGTGTTTTGATAACGCGAATTTGCTCTAACGCGATTTATGAATTCGGAACAATATTTGTATAACGCGATCGCTTGTTTGCTATAACGCGATTTTTGCTTACTATTTCTCCAATTTTGTGGTATTAACTGTGAATATGGTAAAGAAGAATATCTCCAAAAAGCATTCTGATGATAGAATTCCCGGTGATTATCGTAAAAGAAAGGATATAAGACTTGAAGAGAAGCTTGATGTTATCAACCTCAAAATCACCCTTCTCCCCCATCAAGTTACATTCATATTTTTTCAAGGTAAAGTGTTAAATTTACTGTATGATTTCATTATTAGATATGAATGTAACATTTATTTAGACTGTGCTATCCTTTGTGTTAGGCTAACTACTAAATTTTTTCGATTTCGAGTAATCTGCACCTAACCCTATTTTCTCCATAAGCCCTGTTATTTCTATTACGCGATTTTCTATAACACGATATTTTACAAGAACACAATTATCGCGTTATAGCAGAACTATATATATATATATATATATATATATATATATATATATATATATATATATATATATATATATATATATATATATATATATATATATATATATATATATATATATATATATATATATCTCATCTTATATATATATATATATATATATATATATATATATATATATATATATATATATATATATATATATATATATATATATATATACACACAGTGAACCCTCACTTTACGCGGTCAATTGAACCCACGGAGGCCCGCGTAAAGCGAGAAACGCGTAAAGTGAACAACATAACATATGGGATTAAATGAAATAGAGACCGGCTGACCCCCAAACTCCACTTTTTCCGACACAATACCTATGTTCTAGTAAAAATAACATCTTAATTTTATGATGGTACATGCACACAATTAATACTTAAGAGAAATAGAGAAATAGAAATAGAGAAATACAGTCGCCAAGTTAATGTCCATTCAAATAATGGACTCCACTCCCTCCCCCTCTTCTCACACTACACTCGCTGGCTCTTCCCTCTGAGAAATTTTTGGGGGAAAACCACTAGATTTTAAGGTATAGTAATAAATAATACCTCAAACTAAAGTTAGGATAATATAATTGGCATTGCTGGATTCCTTGTAAGACCAGGAATATTTTGAATATAAATGTCATATATTTTGCACAAAAGATAACATATTTACTCAGAGTAAACAAAATACTTACATTAGATCTAAAATTTGTATGTCTAATGCAAAATCTATGATGCTTATATTCAAAATGATCATCAAATTGTAAGAATTCCAGCAATGTAAATTATATTCTGGCCGGATAATTTGTATGAATTTTATGAGCTAAATAAAAAATTATACTTCACCTGCGTATATGAGTAGATGCACCGCGTAAAGTGGGAATTCCGGTTCTGGCAGGGTACCGCGTAAATGTAGGAAACGCGGAAAGTGAAACCGCGTAAAGCGAGGGTTCACTGTGTGTGTGTGTGTGTATATATATATATATATATATATATATATATATATATATATATATATATATATATATATATATATATATATATATATATATATATATATATATATATATATATATATATATATATATATAAAGTAACTTTTTTATACTGTAGATAATACAGTATTGCACACGTTAAAAAAATATATATATATACAGTAATACCCCGCTTAACGCGGTTTCGCTTAGCGCGTTTTATCATATACGCGGTGCCTCGCCAGAGCCGAACTTTCACTTAACGCGGGTTTTTTCCACATATACGCGGCGAGTGTCCGGCTCAAGACGCTATTTTTAGATTCGCCCCACCCGCCACCCGCTGCTCCCGTCTGCCTCGCCTCTCCTTCCTCCTCCCTCCCTCCGCCTGGGCAAGCCGCGCTGTAAGGTTGCGCAGTGTGTGTCTTCTACTAACGTAAGTGTTACACCTAACCTTTAATTTTCCTAACCTAACCTTTATTTTTCCTAACTTAACCTTTATTTTTCCTAACCTAACCTCTTCTATATTACTTGTTTGTTCATACCATCATAAATTTAAAATAAAATTTTTACTACAACATAGTTATGTGTCGTCAAAAAGTGGAGTTTGGGGGGTCGGGCCAGTTTCTATTGGAATTAATCCCATATGTTCTGTTGTTCACTTAGCGCGGTTTTCACTTAACACGGTACCCTGTGGGTTTTATTGACCGCGTTAAGCGGGGTACTACTGTATATATATATATATACCAGCCTGTGTCTTTACTGTCTAATTATACAACTTACTTTTACTTCTGATTTTCCTCCAGAAGCCAGTATCTTACCTGTACATACTGGCAGAAGATTCACCACCACCAAATCTTTCTGCAAAATCTTTACGCCGGGCAGCATTATCTTCCATTCTCTGACGGCGACGAGATTCTGTAGAGAAAATTTTTATATACAGCCTGTTCCAAAAAAGACCTGGACAACTTTAGTTGTTAACAAATTTAGAACCACAAATGATAAGATTATAATATTTGTTTTATAGGATACAGAAACTAAAAAAGTTATGTGCACACCATCAATGCAATTCAATGTGTGCTCCGTTTGATCAGCATGTTTAGCTTCCACCAGTGCACATGCAGCTATGATTCAAGCTCCAAGATCCTGCAAGTTTGCCACCTTGGTCTTGTGATCAACATCTCTGACAAACCCCCACAGGAACATATCAAGAAGGGTTTTGTCTGGTGATCATGGTGGCCAGGCAGTTGGTCCACCTCAGCTAATTCTGCACATGACAAATGGAGCACACATTGAATTGTATTGGTGGTGTGCACAAAACTTTGAGTGTCTGTATCCTATAAAACAAACAGTATAATCTTATGATTTGTGGTTCTAAATTTATTAAAAACTGAAGTTGTCCAGGTCTTTTTGGGAACATCCTGTACTGTTTTTATCATTGTCATCATTAAAGTACTCAAGTAGCTTTTAAAAAAAAATCAGCCATAATCATTTATTTGGATATTTTCTCTGACAGAGAAACACAACATGCATTACTTTCAACTGTCCATACCTCTACTTATGAGTGTTTTGCCTTCCTCGATGAGGTCTGTTGTAAGGTCATCATCACACATAAACTGCTGGAACCCTAAAGCAGACAGCAGCCTGGATCCTAAGCTATAGTATGTTGCCAGACAAAGTGCCACAATCATCATTGGGAAGTAAATGTTAAAGCCATCACTGATGATCTTGATGACATCCATGTGACCCATTATCTGTTAGAGGATATGCAGTGGTATAATACAGATGTTATCATAAACTATACTGTAATTCACACCCCTCTGTCATCTCAGGCATTCAAAACACCTTTCTTTTAACTACATTCTGGTAACCCGAGAAGCCTCAGGTAACTTAAATTTGAGAACATTTTCCTTCATTCTAGGTCCATATTTTGCAGCTATAAGTTTAAGGTAGGAAGTATCATACTAACTCTGAGCTGCTCTTTTACTTTATGGGGATCGACCCACTGGAAACCCCCCCCCACCCCCCACCCCTCTTTTTAGGGATGGATTTATATGAAATTTTAACACATTATTTAGGATCTCTCAACAGTGTTTCCATTAAGATTTTAATAAATTCAGGTAATATTTTTTTTTTATCTTTCTTATAATTGAAATGCAACAAACACTTACATACTTACAACCAAACAATTAATATATACCCATGCAATGAAGAGAAAAAAAAATCATTAAAATATCCTCCAAAGATCACTGCTGTCGGCCACCTCACATTTTTTTTTTTCCCGGGCATTAGCCCACCCGGGCACAAGTCATTTATAATGACCCACATCAAGGCTTGAGGGAAAAAATATAATAAAATAATAATAATAATGTTAAGAATAATTATAATAATAATATTAGAGAGCCATAAATAAAATAAAAAATATAAAAATATCAAGAGTGCAAAATGATACAGGTTGTACCTCTCTAGTCCGGCAACCTCGGGACCTGACCGGTGCCGGACCATGGAAATTCACCCTTTTCCTGGATAGATAGTGACTTGTGCTTAAGCCTGGAAGCACTAGCACCACTTTCTCTGCATCATGGTCTCTTTGAAGACATATTGAAGGGTTAAATGTCGTATAGTAGCTTCTCAAATTTCGCAAGTTTTTAATTCTTAACGTATTTTATTGGAACACACAAAAAAATAAATAAATAAAAATTTTGAAGGCAGAAACTTGAATTTCGACGGGTTTGAACGGCCCGCCAACGTGCAGACGTGCATAATCGTGTAAACAGCGTCATTTCTCTTATGTACAAAAGATTCATTATTGTTTATTACTGGATGTCTTTTTTATTTAATTAATGTTTATGTGTGCAAAATGAGCAATACAATTCATTAATAATACGTAGAATATTAAAACACACGAGGAAATGACACAGCATTGTATTCGTTGATTACAAAACCAGTGACTGACTGGTTCTACATATAAAACTGAAGAAAATAAGACCTTGGTTGTAGCTGTAGTAAAATTAACATGGTTGTTTTAAGTAATGTTATTTAATGTTAATAAATGGAACAATAGAAGTAGCTAACGATAATGGTAAAGAAAAAAGTGAGATCGCATATGTAAGTGCGTATGCGCACACATGAAAACATATCATCATTACTTTATATAAGAATATGAAAGCAACACTTATTTACTGTTCATATATATTTTAATTAATGTTTCTGAATTTGTTTTTATTGAATTAATGTACGTGTGTGCAAAATTAACAATACAATTTATTAATAATACGTGGAATATTAGAGGAGACGAGACGGCTGCCGGCATTGTTTATGTTAAAGCTTACGAAACCAGTGACTGATTGGTTCTACATATAAAACTGAAGAAAATAAGACCCTGAGTTTAGCTGTAGTAAAATTAATGTAAAAAAATGAATATGGTTGCTTGAAGTACCTGTAATGTTATTTAATGTTAATAAATGGAACAATATAAGTAGCTAACCATTAATGGTAAAAAAAAAAGTGAGACTGCTCGTATGTAAGTGCGCACATGTGAAAATATATCGTCATTACTCTACATAAGAATATGAAAGCAACACTTATTTACTGCTCATATATATTGAAGGGTTAAATGTTGTACTCTGTATAGACAAGCAGAGAGAGAGAGAGAGAGCAGCCGAACTGCCGGATGTAAACAAACCTTAATTTCCCGCGGCTTTTTTTTTTTTTTTTTTTTTAAGGGGATTAGCCCACCCGGGCATAGGTCACTGACCCACATTGGGGCCTGAGGGGCAAAAATTTAATACTCCTGTAATAATAATAATCAGATAAGTAAAAAAAAAAAAAAGCTGCTTATCTACCTATTGGACAAACTAAAATCGTTCCGGACCACGGGAGTTTCCGGACCACAGAATGCCGGACTAGAGAGGTACAACCTGTATATGTATGTTGTGTTGTCAAACTAAGAGAAACAATTGAGACCCTGCAATTGTGTGTAAATGAGACAGAAAGTCAGATCAGCAACCAGATACTTGGTCAAAAATTTTGTGATGCCATATGGCAGCAGGATCTCCCATTAGACATAAAGCTTTCAATATCATCCCAGGTGGTAGTATCTCCCTGATTGATAGCTGCCTACTACCTGCAGTATAGTAATTTTTTGAGTTGCACACTCTTTCTAGTATGGAATATTTTCCAATCATTGGTGAATCTAATACAGTACAGTATTATTAGAAATTTAAAAATGTCCAAACACTTTTGGAGTTATTTCCAAATTTTATGTGTATAATGTTTGTTTTGAGTTACAAGCCTTTGAAGATTTACAAGTTCTTGGTACATGGTGCCTTCCTGATTTTGCACAATATCAATTGCTAGAAAGCAAGGGTGTCAAGAGGCACCACCTCTATCTTTGTTGCCAGGTTTAGAATTCCTTAAAATGACTCCGATTCATAAAACTCTGTAGAATAATCCAGGTTCATATTCTTGAATTTGTTCTACTTTTCTTTTTATGTGGTGTCAGGTGAGAAGTATCTGCTTCAAACTGTCATAAGGGAAGGACTGGTGATACGAAACACAAGGGAGAATAACAAATGAGACAACTGATAGCCAAAGATGTGGTCTAAAAATTACTGAGGAAACAGTTTAAATACTTGGGCAAGGGAAGGTAGGGGGTTTCACGAGTCATGCAACATAGGTCTAATCTCTGAATGGGCTAAACGAGCACTGAGAAGGATTACACGATATCACAACTCAGCAGACTGGCTTATAGGTGTTGCCAGATGAATCTTTTCTATGTTTTAATAAATAATACAATACTTGTACCTGTATATAACAATAAAACTAAATACATCATTTGCTCATAATACTATTTTTGGAGTAGACGATGTTATTGCACATAGTTCATACTTGGCAATGATGTAGCTAAGCGAAAGGAATTTTTCAGAAAATCAGATTTTTCAAAATTTTTGGATTGTTCACAGAGGGGCCATCACCATAACTTTACATTCCTTCTTTTGATGATACATCCAAGCACCCAAATAACCTTTCTCCCAGGTAAAGTTCTCTCCCCAATTTCAGTCCATTCTATAAGTCTTTAACATCTCCCAAATACTTAACTGTACTGGCAATCTTCACTTTCCTCCATAATTTTATCAAAGTTGTACATACTCATTTATGGTTTTTCTATTCTGCATGCTATATCAAAATCCACAGTTCACTTCCATCCAGAAAAATCACCAAGGTACCTTACTCTTCCAAGCATTTAACACTAGCCCTTTGTGTACAGGGTTCCCTCTGAGCTGAATAAAATTGCCTGGCATTAGACAAATAAATACTGAAAGTGGCACTCCTTGTCAAAATTATAAATTATCTTTTGCAGTTCCTATTCATTCTTCACATAAAGCACTTATCATTAGTGTAAAGATCCAGTGAATAGTTCAGGGATACAATCCATCCCCCAAGCCCTAGGAAGTCTACCACTCCCAGTTTTAACTAATTCAGTACAGGAATATATCATTAAAGATAACACATGTCCATTAGTCATTCCATCTCAATGTATTTCCATTCTTGCTCAAACACTCAGCTTCACCTACCTGTGTATAATATGTCTCTTCAGTGTGCTTTTTAATAACGTGAGAGTCCATGTGTATGAGAGATAGAAAATTGAGGCACATTGGTGGAGTGAGGCGACACAGCATCATTCCAGAGAAGATGAGAGAATATTCATCCGTCTGATGGTGAGGCGCAAGATAGTACAGGTTTAGTACACGAATCTTGAACAATGTCGAGTATGCACACAGGGCTATGTAAGCCATGGATAAGGAAGATATCATCTGGAAGGAACAGAAAAGTTTGGATACCAATTTCTTTGTTAAGACAAAAACAGTATGTTTTGAAGGTCTTCCATACAATTTTCACTGCTGTTATATATTGCTAAGCTAGCTTGATTTCCCATATAGAAAGAGTATATTAATTATGACTTTTCCTTTCCATACATAAGTGCAAAATAACCTGGCCACGGGCAGATCATAATTTAATTACAGTATAACTTGTTAAAAACAACTTGTTAAAAACAAACTGATGAAAAAGAAAGATTTGAGTGTGTTCAAGAAATGAAATGATTTACCACACACTGTCCTCAAATGAAAACTTATACTACCCTGTAGTAGTTTTGGTTGACTACACTATAAAAATGTGAGGCAAGAAAACCATTTGGTTCTTCATATTAAGACTCGTCAACAGAAATGTACATGTGTTACACAGTCATAAATTCAAAGAATAAAATCAAGAAAATATTTACCTCAATTGTAAAGTAATCATAATTTGCCTTGGCAAGGTTGACAAAAACTGCAAACAGCGAGATGGTCGGGTTGGTGCTGAAAAATGTTAACTCAGACCAGACAACCACCACAGACACGAGGGCACAGCACACAGCAAGAGCACGCAGTAGATACCCTCGCACAAAGCAACGCCAAATCCATTCTTGATTGTAGGGGCAAAGAAAATTTTTTTCATGTTATATGACTAATTCATAACTAGTACAGTAAAAAGTAGCATCCTAAATACTGTATAGGTATCCCTTCCTAAATGAGTGGGTTAGGTTCCTGAAAAACCATTTCCTCAGTGAATTTTCGTATACTGAATAAAAGAACACATGGGAAAAATAGGGTTCAGTTCCCCAATGACAAGAAACCCTAATATCATACCCCAATTGCATGAAATCGGTTCACGAACAAAAAAACAACAACTACCTAACTAATGGTAAATAGTACACAACAGTGTACTGTAATTTACTACCTAACACATTAAAAACACTAATAAAATACTATCTAGATGAGAATATGCAGCTAAAACCATTAAAGAAAAGCTAAATAAAAGTTTGATACAGCTGCCATTTGCAAAGACGCTGGCTGTGTGGCCTCAAGCATGAGTGAGGAAGCTGCCTCTACTGACCCTTAGCAACAAGGCCCCACACACTGCTCCCCCTCGTGCTCTGACACACAATATAATTTTTTATTCCCTTCATGTTTTTGACCTTATGGTTAAAAAAAAAAAAAAAAAAAAGTGATGAGTTAAGTTTTTCTACCCAAAATTAAGAGCTGAAAAATAACCATAACATAACTCACACCTCAGCCTGGTAGGGATATGGCTGCCCTAACTGACTCCTGGGGGCATGCTATTTGAATTTTTGCCAGGACCCAAATCCGTATAAGAAGGGGTAGCTTATATAAAATGAAAGAGAGGTGATAATTTAGGAAATTCGTATAAGGGAATTTTCGTATCTTGAACATTTATATAACGAGGGATACCTGTACCTAAGTTTTAAAGGTGAAATTCCTTTCCACACCAATATATCTTTTCAGTGACCAACTCTAAGGTACTGGACATTAAACTATGGAGGATATGGGGTGAGGTATGATGCAATGAGCTCCTAAAAACAGCAAGACAATCACAATATACAGGAAGTCCCCATTTTACAAACCCGAGTAAAAAAAATCCCATTTTGATTTTTTTAGTTGAAATTCGAAATTACAAAATATTTTCTCACTGGTTTGCTAACACAGGCATCTCAGGGCTTCCTGTACCCAACCAGGTCAGTTTATATTGTACAGACAAACCAAAAACAACATAAGGTACTGTATTAAATATTAGGTTCTGTACCAACTGTGCTGTACTGTATATGGTATACAGTACATTATTTTATTCACCGCAGTGTATTTAGTTTTAATGTTGTTGTTTTTTTATAGTTGTAACACCTTAAAAATTTTATGCATTTTTGGGGGGGCTGGTTGAAAACCAGTTTAATTTTTTTCAGGTAAATTTTTGGGGGAGAACCGAACCCTATTTTCCTCATTTACTGTTATTCACTATCTGAAAATTCAGTAACCAAATGACTTTCAAGAAACTTAACACATTTGGATAGTGGGGAATACCTGTATACAATACACCAAAAACATAATTAAATACATGTTTTCAAATTTTTTTTAGATATTTTGGGATGCCTTTTTTTCCCACATACAATGGGAGTCTTTGGGAAAATGTGATCCAATTTATGAAAGGCTTATCAGGAATGGACCCCTTTCATACTGTAAATGGGAGAATGCCCATACAGTATGCAATGATAATCTTGGTTTTAATGGAAAAAATATGTATCGTGTAATATTCTGTAGTACTGTACTGTACAGTATAGTCTGCATTTACGCGGTCAATTGAACCCGTGGAGTACCGCGTAAAATGAGAAACGCGTAAATGAAATAACAGAACATGTGGGATTAATTGAAATAGAGATTGGGCCGACCCCCAAACTCCACTTTTTCCGACACAATATGCACATCATAGTAAAAATAGTATCTTAATTTTATGATGGTATGCACACACATACAATATAGAAGAGAAATATCAATAAGAGAATAATATACTGTACCAGGTAAAAGAAAATCAAGGTTTAACACTTACGTTAGTAGAAGAGATGGGTTGGCATAAGAGGATGGGGGGCTGGTTCCGAGGCAGAGGACAGATTGCTAGCCCTCAGGTGAATCACCATCACTATCCACCATAGTTGTCAGGGCCTCCCTGACAAACCCCTCAAAGTCACCATCACTGTCACTATCACTGGCTTGGGCTGGCTGTGGTGGGTTGCGGGCGAAGAAGTCAGTGATGCTACGCTGACAGCTAGTGTTGATGTGGTCGTGATACATCTTGATGTACTGCTCCATACTTTGGTCTAGAAGGTTATTGAAGACTTCATACCGGTGATTGATATGGTCCTTTGAAAGGGTGAGCTTTAGTTTCTCGGTAAACTCGATGGCATCCCTTACATCACCATGAGTTAACTTCTGTTCTCTTGCTGCCGCACCACCTGCCTCCTCACTGACGTCATTGTCTTCCAACATCTCGTCGGCAGTCACCTCAGGATCCCTGATTACCTCTATGATGTCGTCGTTGGTGGTCTCGGAGAAGCCTGCAGCTGTAACACTCTGTGCAGTTTCTCTTGCAAGGTCCACTGCTACTGCAACAGACTGAACCTCTCCAGCCACAGGTTGACTCTGCCTCCCACCTGGGATACCCTGCAACACATGCCGCCACGCTTGACGAATCGTTGCCGCAGACAGCTCCCCCCATGCCTCCACCAAGAAATCAACAGCTTTCTTTACGTTAAACATTTTCCAAAACTGTTTAACTCGCACTTCATGCTCCGCCAACTCTTGTTCTGCATCCTCGTTGTCATCGCTCTCGCTATCTCTGCCACTCAGAAGGTTACGCAACTCATCCTTGGTGTTGGTACTGTACAGTCGTTCAGGAGCTTAAACTTCTTTGCAGAGAATGGAGCCTTAACGTTGCATATCAACTCCTGGTCCATGGGCTGGATTAACGACGTAGTGTTGGGAGGAAGGAAGACCACTTTTACACTGGGGTGACGATCCAACAGTAAGGGCGAGTGTCCTGGTGCGTTGTCAAGCAGCAACAAAATGTTGAATGGCACATTATTTTGCGTGCAGAATTTCTTCACGTCGGGAATGAAACAGTCGTCAAACCAGGAGAGGGACAGACCAGTGAACATCCATGCCTTACGTGAGGTTAGCCAGTGGACATTTAGCTTGGTCATGTCCATGTTCTTGTAGGCGTGTGGCTTGCGGGCTGTGTGGATCACCGACAACTTGAGCTTACAGGTACCGGAGGCATTGGTGGTAAACAGGACAGTGATGCGCTCCTTCTGCAATTTCCAGCCCCAACACTTGCTGGCAGACTTGACAACGAAGGTCTTGGAAGGTAATTTTTTCCAAAATAGACCGGATTCATCCATGTTGAACACCCGGTCGTCGGTGTACTGTCCTTCCTCCATAACTTCTCGTAAGAATGGAGGAAAATCCATGGCGGCAGCACGGTCAGCACTGGCTCCTTCACCAACAATGTTAATGTTGGTAATCTTGTTCCTTTTCTTCACCCTTCACTGCTTCCTCTGGGTGGCTACCCAGAGGAAGAAGTGAAGGGTTTGGGCTCTGCAATTCCCATCTTGCGAGCCACTGATGAGTACAGTTCACGAGCGTAGTCCTGCACTGCCTGCGTGTCGACCGCCATGTTCCGTCTTGCCTGACGAATTAAGTAGCTCACCAGTAAGTTCTCAGTCTTGAGCAGCACCTTATTCTGACAGTATTTCACCATTGAAGCACCTGCAGACTTTGTGATGCTCATGTGTTCTTTAATCTTGGCAGCATCCTTCTTGATCGTCCGGATCGTAGATTCGTTCACGCCAAATCAACTTGCCTCGTTCCTTTCTCTAAATCTTGCACGATCTTGTACCTAACTTCGTAACTTAGGGCACATCGTATCTTCTTGGGCTTGGGGCGGCTGGGTCCAGGTAATGCAAGGTTTTTCTGGGGTGGTGGGGGTCCAGCGGATGCCATTGTTGAACAGATTAGCGAGCACAAGAGAGAACAGTATACGCGGTGAGTGAGAACAATGAGACTGACGCAGCTGGGTCAGTAGCTTCCCTCCCGTGTCAGGCCACTTCATATAACATTAGACCAATCACAGCTAGCGGCGGAGGGAGGTAAGGATGCGTGGCCCAATCACAATTCAATACGTCATATGACGTCAGCGATAACGCAATAGAGACATACTGCGCATCCATATCCGCGCCGCTTCCCGCGTATGGTCGAGAATGGACTGCTTGAATAAAAAATGGCGCGGCGCGTCTGGACCTCCAGCCGCTCTCCATGTAAATGACCAAATTTACCGCGTAATTAAAGCATTTACATTCTGGCAAGGCACCGCGTAAATGACAAAACGCGTAAACAAAAACCGCGTAAATGCAGACAATACTGTATATGTACAGTACAGTATTAAATATACGTACAGTATTGTACTCCAGAACATCTGCATTATACATTAACTTAAACATTAAATAGGTATATTAAATCATCAACACTAACAATTATGTAAATCACATGTATTAAACATTATGCATAGATTGAAGTACATATACAAAAAAGTTAAAAAAATTACCAATAGTTGGTGTATAGATGTATGACAAGATGTAGTGTCTCCGTGGGGGTGTTGAGTGCTTGAAGGAGGTATCATGGGAGATAGAATTGCGGTGTGTGTCTTCTAAATTCACAATCTTTTCCACTAGCAATCCCCACTGTGTCTCTACACGACGCTGGTTTTGCAGTGCCTTGATAAGCTGTGATAAAGAAATTATAAAATTTTTATCCATTTCAAACCAAAACAGTAATTGAATTGAATACAGTACCATTACCACCCAAATACTTCAAAAACTATATATATTTTATTGTTCACATATAGGCTTATCAACAGAATATGTTGGCATATAATATTATTGCTGATAACTGTTAGTAACAGAACTGCATTTCCAGTTAAATTTTCCCATGAGATGATTCATTTATTATGCATGCTACATGCATCTTGTGGCAGCACTCCCAGTAGATAAGTCTTTTTATGTGCATGCCATCAAAGGCTAAGAGCATTTGGGTTTTGATCCAAAAGCTATTACTTACTTGCTTGTGTAACCTAACAAGAGCTTTTTCTGAGGGTACATCGGCATGAGGGGAATCTGGTGGTGGCTGCCTTCGAATACGGTCTAGCAGCTCTGTGGGGATTTTGCTCTCAATGACATCCATGTGAGAATGTAGAGGATGCCCAGGGTCTATACTGCCACCAAGGGCTCGCATGCTCTGGAAATAAATTCAATTTACTAAATAGCATACTTAAAATTTTTCTGAACTTATTACCAAATACAGTATAGTCTGCATTTACGCGGTCAATTGAACCCGTAGAGGTCCGCGTAAAACGAGAAACGAGTAAATGAAATAACAAAACATATGGGATTAATTGAAATAGAGACTGGGCCGACCCCCAAACTCCACTTTTTCCGACACAATACCTACGTTGTAGTAAAAATAACATCTTAATTTTATGATGGTATGCACACACAATTAATAATTAAGAGAAATACAGTCGCCCGGTTAATGTCCATTCAAATAATGGACTCAACTCCCCCCCCCCCTCTTCCCACGCTCGCTGGCTCATCCCTCTCTGAGAAATGTTTGGGTGAAAACACTAGGTTTTAAGGTTTAGTAATAAATAATACCTCAGACTAAAGCTAGGATAATGTAATTGACATTGCTGGATCCCTTGCAAAACAGGGAATATTTTCAATATAAACGTCATATATTTTGCACAAAAGATAAAATTTTTGCTCTTTCTAATAAAATTCTTAAATTATCTCTAAAATTTGTATGTCTAATGCAAATTTTAGGATTTTTATATTTAAAATAATCACCATCTTATAAGAATTCCGGCAATGTAAATTATAATCTGGCCGGGTAATTTGTATGAATTTTATGAGCTAAAAACAAATATCTTCAGTAAATAAACAAATTATACTTCACCCAGACACTATCTGTCAATCAAAATACCCCACCTCCCTATAATGGGCCCCTGTCTCATCAACAGAACATATTATATAAATGGGTCAATACATCTGATATTATATTCAGATTCACCACCCTGTAACTTTCCACTGGCAGTGAGGTGACATGTTCAATGCACGTGATAAGGTGTACCCACGGGAAGCTGCGTCATACTATGTTGAGTAAAGGAATAAGTAGCCGGCTCTCTGGCCACCTGAAGCAAGCAGCAGTTTGACATCCTTGACTAGAGGAAGACGTTATTTGAGAGCCGCAGTGGATGGCTCCGTCTTCCCTCGAGGGGGAACGACGTACCCATACCGTTCTCCCTCGATGGGTCACTACTCATGAGTCGCTCACAACAACTTATATCGTAAGGACGTGACCTAACGTTTATAATACATAAACGCCGTCCCTTTCTCATTCACTCCTAAACAGTGGAACTTTCGGTCGATCTACACTCAGGAACTATATATACAATCCTTTTATAATAAAACAAGGAACTACAGTTTGGGTTTCGTTACTTAAACCCAAATAATAAATATATGTGAACGGCCTGGTTAATTGCACAAGTAGCCGATTCATCCTGCTCCCCCCTCTTCCCATGCTTGCTGAGTCCCTCCCTCCCTCCCTACCCCCCACCTTCCCTCCTTACCAGAGAATTGTTTGGGGAAAAACAGTATGCTTACATTTTTAGTAATAAATAATACCTCACTCTAAAGTTATGATATAATTGACATTGTTGGATTCCTTGCAAGACAGGGAATATTTTGAATATAAACGTCATATATTTTGCACAAAAGATAAAATTTTTGCTCTTTCTAATAAAATTCTTAAATTATCTCTATAATTTGTATGTCTAATGCAAATTTTAGGATGTTTATATTTAAAATAATCACCATCTTATAAGAATTCCAGCAATGTAAATTATATTCTGGGCGGGTAATTTGTATGAATTTTATGAGCTAAAAACAAATATCTTCAGTAAATAAACAAATTATACTTCACCCTCGTAAATGATGAAATTTACTGCGTAATTAAAAAATTTCATTCTGGCAAGGTGTCGCGTAAATGACCAAACGCGTAAACAAAACCTGCGTAAATCCAGACTACACTGTATGTATTTTTTTAAACACTTGCAAGTACAGAAAAAAAAAACATAATTCATACTCTCCCCTAATTCAAAATTACTTATAAGTTGTAATGATTTGCTGTTACGAAATATATGTTACCAATTTCACAAAATTTGGTAAATTTTGAAATATGAGACATTTTCAAATATTACAATACAGTATACTGTATATATATACAGTACAGAAGTATCTTACAATTTCAGTAATATTTGGTAACATTTCGAATTATGAGACATTTAGAAATATTATGATATACAGTGGTCCCTCGGTTAACGAGATTTTGGTTAACGAGTTACCTTCCATAAGATTCTTAACTTCGGTTAAAGAGCAATCCCTCGATTAACGAGTTTCTTACGAGCCGACCTCCAAATGTTTTAGCTTGCATTTGGCAGTCCACCAGCTGTAGTATTAGTCTGCCAATACAGTAATCGGTTCTAGGGCTTAAATTCCTTGCCCTTTTAGTAAATATCAAGAAGTTTATACTATTCAATAATTTTAAAAGTTTAATACAGTGAACCCTCACTTTACGCGGTCAATTGAACCCATGGAGGCCCGCGCAAAGCGAGAAACGCGTAAAGTGAACAACATAACATATGGGATTAAATGAAATAGAGACCGGCTGACCCCCAAACTCCACTTTTTCCGACACAATACCTATGTTCTAGTAAAAATAACATCTTAATTTTATGATGGTACATGCACACAATTAATACTTAAGAGAAATAGAGAAATACAGTCGCCAAGTTAATGTCCATTCAAATAATGGACTCAACTCCCTCCCACTCTTCTCACACTCCTGGCTCTTCCCTCTCTGAGAAATGTTTGGGGAAAAACCACTAGATTTTAAGGTATAGTAATAAATAATACCGCAAACTAAAGTTAGGATAATATAATTGACATTGCTGGATTCCTTGTAAGACCAGGATATTTTGAATATAAATGTCATACATTTTGCACAAAAGAAAACATATTTACTCAGAGTAAACAAAATACTTAGAGTAGATCTAAAATTTGTATGTCTAATGCAAAATCTATGATGTTTATATTCAAAATGATCATCAAATTGTAAGAATTCCAGCAATGTAAATTATATTCTGGCCGGGTAATTTGTATGAATTTTATGAGCTAAAACAAATATCTTCAGTTAATAATAAAAAAATATATTCTTCACGACACTATCTGTCAATCAAAGTACCCCACCTTGCCTCCCCCCCCCTTCCAAACGCGCCAGATGGTCGGTCGGTCGGTCCCTCCCTCCCTCCCCCCCACCAACCCTCCCTACCAGAGAAATGTGTGGGAGAAACCAGAATATTTACCTTTTTAGTAATAAATAATACCTCAGACTAAAGTTAGGATAATATAATTGGCATTGCTGGATTCCTTGCAAGACCAGGAATATTTTGAATATACATTTCATATATTTTGCACAAAAGATAACATATTTGCTCTGGTAAACAAAATACTTGCATTAGATCTAAAATTTGTATGTCTAATGCAAAATCTATAATGCTTATATTCAAAATGATCATCAAATTGTAAGAATTCCAGCAATGCAAATTATATTCTGGCCGGATAATTTGTATGAATTTTATTAGCTAAATAAAAAAATTATACTTCCGTGTATATGAGTAGATGCACCGCGCAAAGTGGGAATTCCGGTTCTGGCAGGGTACCGCGTAAACGTGGAAACGTGTAAAGTGGGACCGCGTAAAGCGAGGGTTGACTGTATTAAATTTTTTAGTTATTTTAACAATTATTGAACATAATTGAAGGTAGGGTCACTAGTTTGTGGCATGCCATCCAGCCTGCCAACACAGCATACAGGCACCAGTCTTTGTGTCTTTTCAGTGGAGGTAACATCTTGCTTTGAGACTCTCTTCAACTAAACGCTTTTTTTCTGTGTTTACAAGCAAATTATTGGTCATGTTGAAATTTATTTTACATATTGACAATATATAATGCAGTGCAGTGTTGATTTAAAGAAAATAATCTTGAATTACACCAAGAGAACTAAAATTTTATGGGTGAAATGGCGCCATGGGGTGACTTCTCTTCCACCCCAATGCCTTCTCTTCTCCCTTCTCCCCTACCCCCATTCTAATTCCCATCATCATCATCATCATCATCATCATCATCATCCAGGAGCCTTCTACATACACACCTCAAAGTTAGTGTACTTTTCTACCTTTTTTGTTGAATTTAGGTAATTTTCGGTGAGCTGGAACCAATTACCCAAAAACCCATTGAAACAATGGTTTCGGTTAACGAGCAAACTTCTAGAACGGATTGTGCTCGTTAACCGAGGGACCACTGTACTGTATATACAATATTAAATTTTTTTGTTATATTGGGTAAAATTTTGAAGTATGAGAGACATTTACGAATATGTATGATGCACATGTCACCACTGGATGCGACCGCCCGTCTCACTGTAAACAAGTATTCGTGTCGGTCAGTTCATGTGGGTCAGTTGTGGAGTGCACGTCTATGGCCTACCACGCAACCTTTTTCCATCATTGCCCAGTGTTTGAGCCATTGTGTCTGATAACCCTAAATTTGGTACTGAACTTGATATCGTTTAAATTTTGATTGGGGCAGATAACGGAAAAGTGCCGTTGTTTTGTTTGTTATTCCCTCAGGAGATGGTATCCCTCATAATTCGTAAGAGGTAGAGCCCTTATTATATCGATTTTTTTTTTTACTGTAGTACTGTACTGTACAAATTAACTTTTATGCCACAAGACCAACCTTTAGGTATAATGTAAAATTACCATTCCATTACTTCTGAATGAAAGTGTGCCATTATAAAAATTTCATATTTACCAAAGAATAATGAATATTAGGCACATTTTCAGAGAAGACAAATCTTATAATCTTATTCAAATCATATAACCAGAAACAATGATACATGTTTAATCATTTTCACAAGACCAACAACCCAAGGAAATTTTACCTGTAAAAGGTCATTCACTCGTTCGTTGGACTCTGCCCTCTCTTGAGAAAGTTTTGCTGCGTGGAAATATGAATGGTGAAGAGTGTGGACTATGGAGGCCGAATGCCAAAGGGAGCGTGGTACCTCGACCAATCCATAGCCTAACAGCAACACCAACCAAAACAAGCCCCAAGTGTTGGAGGCTGATGCAGCAATGGTACGCAACTTAGCTCTGTAAAGATTGCAAATATATTATTTAAGAGACTTGTTGACTATCTCATGAAAATGCACAATTAGAGCTAACAAGTATCAGCAACTCTGTACTGTACACTTTCACTACCTGCTTCTGTCATTAATCCTCATATTGCTGGGTGGGTGTGTGGAATTTTTCTCTTTATAAGTGAAAATTTAATGATCCACTTGATAACTTCAGCTTGGATCCAATCCATTACACCAACCCTTGTAAAATTATCTGAGTACATGTGGTCTTTTCATACAACCAACAAAATTAACATTGTACACATATTACATATTCTTATGAGGTAAAATAATTGTGATATAATAATTCAATATATTTTTCCTGTACAAATGATATGTCAATCATCAAATATTAAACCAATACTGTACCTTGCACTCTTTACTCACCCATCAAGACCAAGGTCAGTCAGTGCTATATACAGTAAGAGTATGCCCACAATGAGTAGGTACGACCCATAATATATTGCATTGTCAATAATAGCAGATCTCAATTTTGTTCCAATAGTGAAATCTCCAGCCTTTGTGTATGACTGCATCAAGGGAAGTATCAACCTGAAATATGTTCAAGACTGAATAAAAGAATACAAACTACTGTGCATATAATATACTAACACTGAATTCAATGAATTTGAAAATCTTCTCTTTCTCTTTACAGCTTCCTTTTTTTCACTAATATTTAGTTGTCTATTTGTACCTCACCATCCAAAGGATGGGGGAAAGTGGAATCAAACCATTTTGGATAAAGTTCATGATTTAACTGAACCTGTGAACCTAAAATCACTTCAAACAAAGAGATAATAGTTTTACTGTATATTTCAACAATACTGTAGGTATTTTTCCTGTTAATTTTATTTGAATTCTTCCAACCAAAGGCAAAACAGTATCCTACAAAGTTATTCTTAGTGACTTGAGTAACTAAGATGACACAAGGTTGAATGGATTTCCCAACATAAAATTGAGAAATGCAGAAATACCTTACCATGTGAGAAACTGTGATGTCCAGTAAACAATCCTCCAGAAGACAAGCAAAACCCGGCGTGGAACAAAACTCCATGGTTTGGGGCACTTCAGATCAGGAGGGACTGTTGTGGTCAGTATAGTGTCATTCGTCACATTTAATGGTAGACCATGTAATATAGTCTCAGTGAAGTTATTTTCTGTGACTGCACTGCTTGACACTTCTCTCAGTTGCCTAGCTGGAGACAAGTCAAGGTCCGAGCGGCAGGTCTCGTAGATTGTCTAGACACGAGAATAAGTATGTTGCAACCTTGGTGAAGAGTCCACACACATTAAGTGATTATCATCATGCAATTGTTCATACTGTAAAGTATCTGTCAACCAAAAATATACTTTACAAAATAATAAATTTTATCAAATCTGAGTATGTTCGTGTAAAGATGTCGTTTAAGGCACACATTACGGGGAGGTAGTGCACTTGACTGAAGAGTCGCTCAGCTGTGCAGCAAATGAAATACAGGTATTTTTATTCAGACTGTTCACTTTATATGTATCAAAGGGTGGGGGAAAAGTTTCGTCATCAGAAGTTTCATCGATAATTTGTACAATTATGTAAGTGCATTGGTCATTCTCTCAATTTTATTAAGCTGGGAAAATGTGAAACAACAAAAGCACTCTTGTTCGAGATATGTTTATTAAGACATTATTTCTATTATACATCACAAATAGAATTTCTACTTCATGTCAATCACAATATGCACGCACGCACACGCGCACACACACACTTACTTATGGCTGTCCGTCATAGCCGACGATGACTCTGCTTCATTATGAAAACAATGATGATGAGTGGTAAACTAGGGACGTTGTCAGCGGTGTCACTGGATGTGGAGTCCGAACTTTGACCCACAGATTCTATTGCACTTTGAGCAGGACAGCTCCGGGTTGGGTGGGAGGTCTCTGGGAGTGCGATTGTGTCTCCTTTCCCTTCGTGAACATCTGGCCCAATTACACTCATTCTCGAGATGTTTGACACCTTGGGTACAAGTGAGCACCATAGACTACAGTCAGATGCAATGGTCTTAAGGTCCTTTGGAGGAATGTTACTTTTTTGAGCAGCATCCTGGGGTTGGTCTTTCTACCTTTTGCATTGTCCTCCAGGGTTGCAGCGTGCCTTGGGCAGCTGCAGAAAGAGGATCTGGCAGGGGAGTCAGTGCTCTGGCATGTGGATGATTTGTCCAGTTCATTGCATCTGTCGCTTTGCCAGAAATGCTTCTGTGCTGGTGGTGCTGGTGCATAGGAGGATGTCAGTATGCCGGACTTTGTCCTGCATACTGACCAAGAATGCACTACAAACAACAGATGTGGAAGGCCTCAAGTGAACTGATGTGCCTTTGGTATGTAATCCACACCTCTGAACCAAATAAGATGGCGAAAATGCAAACAGTTTGGTAAACAGAAAGTTTGGTTGTAACTTTGAGGCTGTTATTGTCGAGCACTCTGGAGCGCAGACGACCAAAGGAGGCAGCTGCAAGATGGATCCAAGCCTGGATCTCCTCGTCGATTATGTGCTTGGGGGAAAGAATACGTGCACGCACACACACACACACACATGCAGTCAATTGATCCACAGCAATTTGGCAATATGAGGACCTCCTCTACATCACACTGCTTAGTTAGTTTCCTGGATTTCTTGCACAAAAACCTGCAGAAACATAAGACATCACTGACCATTACCCTTGTTGACTTCAGGAAGGCTTTTGACCTTGTTGATCAACAAGGCCATTGCACTAGGGCTGCCCACCAACCTGGTCTCACGGCTCACTGATTTCCTCAGTGAGCGTCATCAGGCAATCAGGTACCAGGGTTCTGTCTCCACTTTCCAACACCCCCATCTGTGGTTTTCCCCAGGGGACCAAGATGGGACCACTGTGCTTCCTAATCCTCATCAACGATGCTCTATCAGACACTCCTCACAGGTGGAAGTACGTGGATGACTGCACTGTGGGGGTTACAGTGGACAAAACCTCACTGGACTACTCATCACTACAAGCACCCTGGACAGGCTACAGGCATGGACTACGGAGAACAAGGTCACCATCTACCACACCAAAACCGTAGTCATGCACATCAATACCGCCACCACTCCAGTGCAAGCTCCAGCAGTCACAGTGGGTGCCCATCCTCTCCAGTTAGTGCAGTCTGCCAAACTCCTGGGTGTTACCATAGACCACAAACTGGACTGGAAGGCCCATGTAAACAACAAAATCAAGGCAGCCTCATACCGACTCTACATGCTCCGCCAACTCAGGTCACTTGGGGCACCCACGCCGGAGCTGAGGACTATCTACAACGCCTTTATTCTCCCCAAACTAACGTATGCGTCACCAGTCTGGTCGTTTTCTCTCAACTCTACCCAACAACGTCAACTAGAGAAGGTACAGAAAAGGGCCTGCAGAATCATGCTCGGCGCAGACTACTCTGGCTACAACAACGCTCTCTCCACCCTGGAAATGCCATCCCTCAGTGACCTCCACCATCAAGCACTAGCAAGGTTTGGCAGTGGATTACTGCACCATCCTTGTCAACTCCTGCCACCGGCAGTCCCCAGCTCACCTCGCGCAGTACGCCACTACAATAAAATTCAGCCCATAAGAGCCTGCACTGATAGATATAAAAATAGCACCATCCCATCTATTGTTAAAATAATAAACAACTATTGATTTATGTACTGTACAGCCCTGTAAATCTATTGAACACATATCATTATGTCTAAATCACATGTAAGTTTGTATATTTTCAGCAACCGGCTGCAACTCTACTAATAAACCGTTTATTATTATTATTATTATTACACACACACACATCAGTACAGTTGTCAAATCCTCCAGTTTTTGCCTCCACCTCCTCCGTTGACTCAAGTTCCTTGTAGTTCCTGCGCCCTAGCTCCTCAGTGTTTACTCAACATTCATACTTCCCAAGCTCACCTATGCCTTCCCTGCCTGGTCCTCCTGACTAAGTGCCACACAATGGAAACACCTAAAAAAATGCAAAAGAGGGTGTACAAGATTATTCTCTCCCCCTCCCACTCCACATATCAAGAAGCACTCAACACACTGACCCTCTTGGTTCTCTCTGACCATCACCACAACCTCATCTGCAAATTTGGTTTGAAGCTTCTGCACCATCCTCGACACCGGCTCCTACTTCCACCAGAGATGTCTCGTCCGTGTATTGATGTTCGACACCGCAACCGCATCCAGTCCATAAGAGCATGTACCGATTGCTACAAGAACAGCCCAGTCCCAACCATTGTAAAATTATCAACAACTAGTAATCAACTGGTGTATTCACTCCCAGTCAATCTCAATCTTACCTTTTGCACTGTCATTATGTTGAAATGCCCTGTAGTATAACCTTCTCCCCACTTAGTTATTATATATCATATTTGTATCACTTATGTTACTTCCAGCTGCCATGCTCATTCAATAAACCATTAATTATTATTATTATTATTATTATTATTATACACAGAGCTATCCTTCCATCATTAGTTCACCATCTCATCACTTTAGAGAAGTCAAGATCAACTGAGCAGCTCTTCCGCCAAACACACTACCTCCCCATAACATTTGTCTTAAAGGACACCTTTACATGAATATGTGGTGTTTACACTCGATTCTAATCTTTATAAAATGTTCATTATTATTCAATACTTTATTGTATATGTTTGGTGTCACTTATCTTGATATATATTATAATTAGTGAAAAGAGAAGTACCCTAGGAGTAAGTGTGTTCTCTGAAAGCAAGAATTTGTTTGTGACTTCAACGGTAAATATTCTTTATTTCAAGCGTTTTTTCCACTCACATCTTCAAACTTCATGTTTTCAAGCAGTTACAGATATATGTTTACCGATATTAAATTCAGCAGGAACCCCTACGGCCCGGTTGACATTCCGGAACGTCCATCTAGGGCGCCCTGGTTGACGTTCCGGAACGAGCGCCTTTTCTGGGCATTGTTTGAATGCCCAGCGCGGATTATTACGTTCCAGCGTAACTATTTGCCTGTCACGCCACACGCTCGGCCGCAGGGAAGCTTCCTAAACATAATTACCTACTTTTGTTTGTTTCATTTTCATTGTTTGTTCATTTTATCATGTTGTATCAAAGTAATATTGCTAAAAGTAATGTAGTATTACTGGAAAATAATGCTATGATTATGTTATAAATGTATTTATTTGTGGAATTATTATTCTGATAATTATTTATATGCATTACCTGTTATCCAAATACAAAGAGAGCCTGGCGACAGACTGTGTGTGTGTAGCCGAGCACTTTTTATGAAATTAATGCAAATAAAATATTCTAAATGAATTATTTATAGAAAATAAGTATTATGATCAGTAAATATATGCATTACTGCCATCCCGTACACAAATGCAAGCAGAAAATGGCCGCTAAGTGCGTAGTGATCACGAGCACTAGCCATCAAAACAACAGTGTCACCTTATCTCCCTCGCCACTGCTGCCTCAGGGAAGTTTCTAGAGGGTCAATATATAATATTTCTTACTTCTTTTTTAATTTTTAATCATTTAAAAAGGTTAAAAATATTTTTTTTTAAAGTTGATTTTTGTTGATTTACCCAGCGTGGGGATACAGCCAGCGGCACCCTAGCCTGGGGAGTAGGGGTTAAAGTGAGCCAGAACAGGGTATGCTTAACAGTTATGTTTGGATCTAATTGCAATATATCAATATATACTGTGTTAATCGAACATTATATATGAACCAATGAGCTACAAGGGGAATGGGACTTCTTAGGCCTTTTTTTTTTTTTATAACGGATTAGCCCACCCGGGCACAGGTCACTGACCCACATCGGGGCCTAGGGGGCGAAAATATAATAATAATAATAATAATAATAATAATAATAATAATAATAATAATAATAATAATAATTCATAGTAATTAAAATTAATAATAAAAGATACAAAATTAAAAATAAAATAATAATAATATGTACACAGTATTGTGTTGTCAAAGTAAGAGAAACAATTGAGACCCTACAATTGTGTGTAAATGAGGCAGAAAGTCAGACCAGCAACCTGGGACTTGGTCACAATATTCGTGATGCCATATAGCAGCAGGGTCTACCATTAGACAATACATTATGCTTCCAATATCTTCCCAGGCGGTAGTACCTTCCTGTTTCATAGCTGCCTACTAAAAAAACAAATGAAAACGACATAGTATACAGGATGATAATCCTTTATCTGAAGTCTCTGTGGTCGTATGTGACACAAACTGGAATTTTTAGGCACTTTAGCTAGGACCCTCTGATCCAGGCCAAAATCTAACTATCCAATGCATTTTATTTTTTTATTTTTAGAGGATTTAACTGCATATTGAGATATACAGCCAACAACTAGATGCCTAACCTAGTAAAATTATATCATAGCCCCTATACAGTGTACCCTATACCAGGATATCAATTGTATAAACCTGTGCAGCCAAATTATAACAGTAGCACCAGATGTTTATAAATACATAATGACAGGAGTTCAGTCTCCACCTACAGTGACATTGAAATAAAACATTAACAAATGGTTTTTTGTTTTAACGTTTTTTATGTTTTGCTTGTGTTGTGAACTTAACCCCTCGAGAATGAGAAATATCTAGAAAATGTCTCCCCTTGGATGGCATATAAGTTTTTGTATAATGAGAGTACTGTTCAAGTTGTACAAAAGGCTTGGAAATACTTCTTTACTTGACATGATATGGCACTACACCCAGGCTGGGTATTTGCAAAACCTCTTAATACAACCACACTGACACAAGGCTATGATATATTACATTACTTTCCTTGGATACAGGGTCGTGATGGTATTCATTCTATGTAATTTTCTGCTAAATGGAAGCCTCTTTGTCCTAAACTTTTCAGCTGACAGATAATTTACTGTACCCATACCAGATTCAAAAGGGCTTTTCAAATCAGGAAGAACATACCTTAAGGCAAATGTTATACACTTAGGATGGTGGAAAAGACAGAGAAAACTATATTAAGCACTAAAGAAAGATCTCATTCTTAGCATTATTATTTACAATTGGTTAGCAGTCAATAAACTGACATCCTTTTTTCAAGCTAAAACATTTTTTCAGCCATTAAAAGAAAATAATAATTTTAGCGACTTTGTACAGTAGAACGTCGATTTAAAGCAATTCAATTTAAGATTATTGATTTAAAGCAACACCCACATTTAAGGACAATGTTTTATTTTAAAGCGAATCTTTCCTATTTTGCGCGAGTCAATCAAGGCGCATCATATTTTAAATTTTGCACCTACTGTTTCCCACCAAACGCGTCTCCGGGCACGCTACACGGTTGCCAGCCACCCTCTCACACCCTCCCACATGCTCAGTTCTCACACTGTGTGACACTATCTCCTTCTACCAAGTGCATCGACCATTGCCACTATGTCCAAGAGGCCAGCTACTACATCATTAATTACCCCAAAGGCCAAGAAATCAAGGCAAGCAATTACATTGGAGCAGAAAAACAAGGTGCTGGAAGCACTGCGTGGAAATGGTGTTTCCCGCGTGTCAGATGAGACCACAGCCACACCACTAGAGTGGTGTGGATGATGAGCTGATCGAGTTGGGCTCTGCAACTTCAGAGGATGAATTGCCTAACTAAAGTTGAGTGAAAAATCTATTTTTTATAGCATAAAGTAATTAAAAAATAAGTTTGAGAGGAAAATGAGTGCTACATATATCTTTTTGTAGTACTGTATAGACTTGAAATTTAGTTAAGAACAGTTTATGGTTGTCCTTTTTCAAATAAAGGACAAACATGTCTCAAAAAGGATAGTTCTGTCCTTAAAAGGACAGACTTGGCAAACCTTGGTCACGCGACCCTCTCACATCACCTGATCGCTAGTACACAGACCATTTCATGTTCCATAATTTTAGTTGTGTTGATTTATAAGTATTTGTTTTAACCCTTAAGCCCCAGGTTATTGTGCTGCTGGCATTACCCCCCTCCCACACGTGGTTAAATCAAGAAAAAATAAAATAAAAATAAAAATAAATAAAAAGGGCGGGAAAATAGGCGGACGTTCTGGAACGTCACCCGGGGCCTAAAGGTTAACATAATACTACAAAAAAAAAACAATGTTTTGTTTATTCTAGTCGGTGGGCTGAGGTGCATCTAGGTAGACTCTCAGTCTCTTTAGTATTTTGTGTTTCTCTCAAGTGCCAAATTAAATTATTCCATTGAAACAACACTTCGATTTAGTGCAAATTCGGTTTAAAGTGACCTCTCTTGGAACGTGTTTCGTGTTATATCGACGTTCTACTGTATAAGTGAAGTAGGTAATGTATGCACACTGTTAATTGATATTTAATCAAACAATGGCAGCATTTCAATCTTAAGTAAGTTTCATCATTACATTTGTGCCCCATTACCAAGAGAGTTGTTGTTGTTCCTATGTAGCCTCCTACTCAATAACTACGATAAATAATAAATTGACTTTTGAAATTTAACTTAGATACAGTTCCAATAATATAATTCCATACTCACAGTTGAGACATCAAGTGGTAGGACGAAGACAATTAGCATGGAGAAATACCAGGCAACCAGAACAGCCACTGTGACCACCAGGTGATGACGGTACCAGTTGCCATACTGGAAGAGCACCACAGCCGCCACAAAAAAGGTCAAAAGGACCTCTATAACCAGCGGTCCCACTCCCATCTTGCGTATTACTTTGATGGAAAAATTTCTTAAGTTTCTCGTAATTGTTCTTTAAGTGTGTGACATTTTCATATTCACATCCACAAGCAACTTAATATAAAGATTAACAGCACATGTACTGAAATATACTGGACGCTAAATTAAACTCATATGTTAAACAATAAACATCACAATTCAAATTATTTTTCTACAGACACTAGTTTATAAATGAATTCCAACTATTATATTACAGTACTACTGTATGTACTGTATGGACTTTCAATTCACATGTCTTCTTGCATGAGTGTACAAACAGTCCATTAACTTCACATTATTGAGTGAATGATAGGGCCCTTTCCATGCCATCGAGTGTGGTGCATGAAAAAATATACAATACATTTTCAACATGGAGTTCTTAGATGAGGTGCAAGAATTTTTTTGGTTATAAGAGCAGAGGCAAGCACACTACAGTCTTCATAAATTGGCACTTAAGCTACAGGTAAACACTAATAGTTGATTAAGAAAGGACTAAAAAACCAAATATACTAGGAGATAGTGAACACAGCAAGTACAGTATGAGGAAAACTTTAGCAACACACTGTTTGGAATCAGTAGAAGATGGGTTTGGAACTAGTGTCCGAGGACATTCCCTGCTGTTCCTGTTGCTGACGAAGTTTCTCTTGGGCACTCTTCTGCATGGTTTCCAACTTTTCTAATGTAACAGACTTGAGGGGCATGAGCTTAGGGCGGCACAAAGCTAGGTACGCAGAGTCTTCTTGGTATAGCAATCCCTTACGAGGCAACACCTCCTTCAACACCATGGCAGTGCCTGATCCTTCATGCATTCTACTCCTGTGTCAAATTCTTTTATCCTGGAAAAAATAATAACACATATGATACACAGTACTGTTTATTATAAGATATAAATATTGACTGCAGTACAGCCGATACAATTAAAAATAAAATTCTATATACAGGTTGTACCTCTCTAGTCCGGCAACCTCGGGACCTGACCGGTGCCGGACCATGGAAATTCACCCTTTTCCTGGATAGATAGTGACTTGTGCTTATGCCTGGAAGCACTAGCACCACTTTCTCTGCGTCATGGTCTCTTTGAAGACATATTGAAGGGTTAAATGTCGTATAGTAGCTTCTCAAATTTCGCGAGTTTTTAATTCTTAACGTATTTTATTGGAACACAAAAAAATAAATAAATAAAAATTTTGACGGCGGAAACTTGAATTTCGACGGGTTTGAACGGCCCGCCAACGTGCAGACGACGTGCATAATCGTGTAAACAGCGTCATTTCTCTTATGTACAAAAGATTCATTATTGTTTATTACTGAATGTCTTTTTTATTGAATTAATGTTTATGTGTGCAAAATGAGCAATACAATTCATTAATAATACGTAGAATATTAAAACACACGAGGAAATGACACAGCATTGTTTTCGTTGATTACAAAACCAGTGACTGACTGGTTCTACATATAAAACTGAAGAAAATAAGACCTTGGTTGTAGCTGTAGTAAAATTAATATGGTTGTTTTAAGTAATGTTATTTAATGTTAATAAATGGAACAATAGAAGTAGCTAACGATAATGGTAAAGAAAAAGAGAGATCGCATATGTAAGTGCGCATGCGCACACGTGAAAACATATCGTCATTACTTTACATAAGAATATGAAAGCAACACTTATTTACTGTTCATATATATTTTAATTAATGTTTCTGAATTTGTTTTTATTGAATTAATGTACGTGTGTGCAAAATTAACAATACAATTTATTAATAATACGTGGAATATTAGAGGAGACGAGACGGCTGCCGGCATTGTTTATGTTAAAGCTTACGAAACCAGTGACTGATTGGTTCTACATATAAAACTGAAGAAAATAAGACCCTGAGTTTAGCTGTAGTAAAATTAATGTAAAAAATGAATATGGTTGCTTGAAGTACCTGTAATGTTATTTAATGTTAATAAATGGAACAATATAAGTAGCTAACCATTAATGGTAAAAAAAAAAGTGAGACTGCTCGTATGTAAGTGCGCACATGTGAAAATATATCGTCATTACTCTACATAAGAATATGAAAGCAACACTTATTTACTGCTCATATATATTGAAGGGTTAAATGTTGTACTCTGTATAGACAAGCAGAGAGAGAGAGAGCAGCCGAACTGCCGGATGTAAACAAACCTTAATTTCCCGCGGCTTTTTTTTTTTTAAGGGGATTAGCCCACCCGGGCATAGGTCACTGACCCACATTGGGGCCTGAGGGGCAAAAATTTAATACTCCTGTAATAATAATAATAATTCAGAGAAATAAAAAAAAGAAAAAAAAAGAAAAAAGCTGCCTATCTACCTATTGGACAAACTAAAATCGTTCCGGACCACGGGAGTTTCCGGACCACAGAATGCCGGACTAGAGAGGTACAACCTGTATATATATATATATATATATATATATATATATATATATATATACCGTATATCGCGGCCTATAAGGCGTCGGGGTGCATAAGACGGCCCCCCCAAATTTCCATTTAAAAAGTAGCTTTTGAGCTCTATTCGCTGTATAAGACCAGTACCCCAAATGTGACACTTACCCACTGACTCAGTAGTCCTTTACCAACCATCCTTGGTTTTTTAAAATAAGGCCAATTCACTTCAAGTAATGTCATCAAATGTTACCCGCTGGTGTAGTGTAAACACTAGTGACGTCACTGAAGCGTCTGCTATTTACCGGTAACTGGAACTAATGTCGGTGTCGAGTAAAATTTTTCCATTTACTTGAAATGGATTTACCGATTTATTTGTTTATTTATTTATTTATAATATACTGTAACATATTAAACACACTGCAAGTATTTTCTTTAATTTATATGCTTGCTTCACACGAGACGATCGGTGGCGGGAGTGTTACCTCGTCTCGGTGGTGGGACTGTGTTCCCACTGTTTACCGTACTTTTTTTTTAGTAAGTTCTTTTTTGTTATATTTTTTACTAAAAGTGTTATTTTATGTGGATAAAAATGTTACAATGGACTTAAAACTATAAAAAATCATCTGAGCATGCTTGAAAACATACATATCGACACCAAGATCACCCAGATTGACCAACTACATCAATTTCTATAAGAAAAATCAACTTTTGAAGGTCAATATGGCGGTCATCTTGAAAAATGGTCGCCATCTTGGATTTTTAAATGGCCAATCAGGCAGACTTGACTAGTAACCATTAGAGAATTACCATGCCAAATTTGGTGCTTGTACCACCATTTTCATGATTCTCTTGAAAAATTGCATTTAGCTGCCCCACTAATGTCACCACTCCCATCTCAACATGACACTCGTATACTGAAATATTGTATTTCATACTACATATGACTTTACAAAAAGAAATGTCCACGTCTGGTTAAATAACTCTTGTAGATATAATACCAGTTGAATAAACGAAACTAAAAAACTGGAGATTGTAATTACAGTGAAGCCTTGACAACTCCATTATGAAGTTAGGGATTAGATGACGCCAAATTCAATCACCTTAATGCACTTTAAGAGAGAGGAGTCACCGTGCCAGGGCTTAATATTATCCTGGACCCTAGAGGTTGATGACGTATTCAGTGTCAGGGGCAGAAATACATCGATGTACACAGCACCTGATCCCAATCAACTCCAGTATAGGTGTTAATAATGTAGAGGTGACCAGGTGTGTTGCACGTTGGTAGTGTTGGATGGTGATGCAGGAAAGAGGTAGTGTGTTGAGGGTGGTGTGTGGTTATGACTCACTCCCACAACCCCCCCACACCACTCACACATCCTCACAACTGTACCACAAAGCCCCCACACTACTCATACAGCATCCTCACAACACTACCACAACCCCCCCACACCACTCACACATCCTCACAACTGTACCACAAAGCCCCCACACTACTCATACAGCATCCTCACAACACTACCACAACCCCCCCACACCACTTACACATCCTCACAACACTACCACAACCCCCACACCACTCACACATCCTCACAACACTACCACAACCCCCCACACCACTCACACATCCTCACAACACTACCACAACCTCACGCACCACTCACACATCCTCACAACACTACCACAATCCCCCACACCACTCACACATCCTCACAACACTACCACAACCTCCCACACCACTCACATCCTCACAACACTACCACAATCCCCCACACCACTCACACATCCTCACAACACTACCATAATAAAATTAATCATTTCTAGTGTGGTCGACTTCCTACACAAAGACAGGCTATAAATAGCCGTCTTATCTCAACCTCCTTCCTTCCCCCTCCATCCCTCTGTTCTCAGAGAGGTCTTGGTAAATAACTTTTGTTTGTTTATTTTCATTGTTTGTCTAATTTATCATGTTGTATCAAAGTAATATTACTAAAAGTTTTAGGCAGCTACCAAACAGGGAGATTCTACTGCCTGGGAAGATATTGGAAGCATAATGTACAGTATTGTCTAATGGTAGACCCTACTTCCATATGGCATCACGAAAATTGTGACCAAGTCTTAGGTTGCTGATTTATCTTTCTGCCTCATTTACACACAATTGCAGAGTTTCAATTGTTTCTCTTCCTTTGACAACACAACATACATACAATATAATGTTTCTCACCTTTGATCTTTTTTCCATTTATTTATGGTTGGTTATTTAAAATAATGCCAATTCACTTCAAGTATTGGCATCAAATTTTACCGGCTGGTGTACACTAGTGACTCACTTAAGCGGCAGTTATTTAATTGGAACTAATGTTGGTGTGAGTAAAATATTTCCATTTACTTAAAATAGATTTGCCGATTTATTTGTTTATTTATTTATTTATAATATACTGTAATACATTAAACACACTGCAAGTATTTTCTTTAATTTATATACTTGTTTCGCGAAAAAGGGAGGCTAGCATTATAACTGGTAGGTGATCATTAAGGACCAAACTCCGAATCCATGACTCCATGACGTGACTTCTGTTCATCATTTATATCCTAAATTTATACTGTCGGTAGTTTCAAGAATTAACGCAGTCATTTACTGAATATTCTTTGTAAAAAAATAAATTTTAAATTAATTATTTATAGGAGATAAGTATTATGATCAGTAAATATACAGATATGCATTACTGACCACCTCCGAACACAAGGACGGCTAAAAATAGCCACAGGCGGTCACAGTCAAGGTCACTTTCCCTGATAGGACTTTGTGAGTGGTTTACCATGTTTCCATCACCACTCTTGACACGCAGTATTTAAGAGGTAAGAATTTTATACTTGGTGATTAAGACGACCCCCTAACTTTGGGCAGATTTTTTTAATGTTCAAATTCCGTCTTATAAGCCGAGATATACGGTATATATACAGTAAAACCTCGATTAACCGACCACATATGGGGGGAAGGGGCCGACGGATAATCGAAAAGGTCGGTTAATAGTACATAAAGTCTACGGAAATAAAATATACATTTTCAAAGTACCTTTCCCTAACCTACCTCATTTAAGTCCCTCTATTCATTTTTGTTCATTTGCCATTCATATTTCAATAGAATTTGCTTTAAAACATTAACAACTTTAGTAAGTAAATATGAACCAGCACAGAAACTGTGAATAAAAAATGGAAGTCAAAGAACATATGTCATCACAAAAATTTTGACCAAGTC